CTTACATCCAAGTCGAAGAGGTTCATTCGCGATGTATGTATACGTGTCTATTTAATAGCAAGAGATGTCCCGCATGTTCCAACGCGCAATCGCCGCGCATCCTCGTGCTCGTCCTTATCATCGCCGCATTTTTATAGGTTGCATCCGCCCCGCGAAAGGCGCTTGAACCCGCTGACGGGGCGAACGACCTTTAATCCTGCCTCTCTCTCTCTCTCTCTCCCCCTCGCGGGGGCCCCCCTCGCGTACGTATACACGAATGCGCCGGGGAGAGTTTTCTTTGACGTCAGAGGGCAATCATGCAACGTCGTAAAGCGAGCATAGAACCCTATCGACGAAATGCTTCGGGTGGTTCCACCATAAATCCGCACGCCTACACGATCGGTTAGTTGTCCCAATCCTGTGAGAGACAAGTGCATTGAGAGGGGCTGATAAAAACCTCGAAGAAATAGGTGGATTAAAGGGAATTAACGATTATTCAGTTCTGTGAGCTTAGACAGGTTGAACGTCCAAAATTAAATATCACTTGTGAAATTTTTAGACACGTTAAATTTCTTGATACGTTAAGAATTCGTGGAACCAATTTTAATCCTTTCATTCAACTATTTTTGGAAAATGCTGAGACTTTGTGTATATTTCAACATATATTGATATTAAAATTTTCCCGTCCTCTTTAAAAAAATCTCTACAATAATTACACATGTGGACAATTCAGATTTCTTCAACATTTAGATTTTCCTTGTCAAGTAAATTTATTATATCGAAAATGATTAAGATGTTAGAATGCTGCAACCGGTACACCGATCACGGTGTGTACCGATACATGTGGAACGTTGTCCGTGCGATATATAAATAGGTTGGACGGTATGAAAATAGACATCGGGGCGTTGGACCGGAGGATCGATGACGATACTCGTCCCCGGTGGCGGCTTGCCTGGCTTTATTTTTTGTCAAGTAACCGCATTACGCGACTTGGTCGAGACAGCACGTCTGCGTGAGAAGGCGCCTAACATCAACTTGCATTATCTACCGATGTACATTTATATGTCGGCTTCTGCGCCGAGATCATCAATTTAACTTTTCCGATTCTGGCGTGTACAATGACAGACATATATAACATTTTTTACGCATCTCGTGTAACGCATAATTTCACAACTGCTCGGTACCATTTTCCTCTACAGACATATTCTGACATATGTTTTAATTCATTTCGTTTCCGAAATCAGTCTGCGGTTTACTAAAGATAAGAAAGAGAAGATAACCTTTTGGCATTTCCTCTTCTCTTTGATTATTACACATTTTGACTTCACGATATTTTATATATATATATATATATATATATATATATATATATAATAATTAAAATATATAATATAGGAAAGGATGGAATTATTTCGGATAGTTATAAATATTACGTTTTTCTATAGCAAATATAAATCTTCTATTATTGAATATATTCTCTCAGGTTTTTCTAAATTTTCTCAAAAATGTTTAAAATTATCCTATTTTTATGGTTAAAAAGGATAAATTATTTTATATTGAATTGAATAAGGTTTCTATAATAGAAGTGCACAAAATTGTTTTCTAAGTCTTAATTTAACGTCATAATTTTTTATTAAAATAGAAATAAATAAATGTTAAACAAGAATATTATTTCGTTTTATCATCCTATATTTAATATAGATTTCTAACTAATGATTTTATCATTTTTACTGATATATTAACTTTATTAAACATTTATTTATAACAAACGTAATAAAAGTGATAAAAAATGACATTGTCATTGAGATACTGTTTTTCCTCGCAAATGTTACATGTGCATTTGCTGTTGATTTTTGCGTTGGACCGATCGATTGAATCTCTCATCGTGTGTTGTTATATTACGATGCGTTTAAACATACCTCCGCACTGTATATGTACTTGATGTCCGCTTTGCGGAGATAGCGTCCTGTCAAGTATCCAGTCAGTTCGGTGCTTGTCAAAACAAGCCACCGAGAATATTCGCCACGTGGATGGAAATAGCGGCACGCCGATCCAAAATACGCGCGCATCGGAAGGAAGATGATGGAACGCGGGTGCATGTCGAGATTTCGTTTGCTGCATGCACACCAGTGGCGTAACTAATGGCCTCGGACAATCGGCGTCGCCAGCAAAATTAAAAACAAGAAAAAAGAAAAGGAGAGAAAACGGGGACAAGAAACAAAAGGAAAGGGTGGGAGAAACGAAGAGAGGGAAAAGGGAGAAAAATAGGAAAAGGAAGAAGAGATCAAGAAGAATATTAAGCTTGTTATCAACGAGATTGTTTTTCTCGAGGGAAAATTATTACACGAATAAAATTTGTTCGCCTTCTTCATTCCTTGATATCAAATTATGAATAACTGTCTCGGTTAACACCATAACGAGCCTGTTATATGTTCACACTGAATCTTACGTATACTTGGATTGGAATATGTATTGGAGTACATAATATGTATAATGAGGCAACGAGAAAGTGGGCCGAGGATATGTCACAGCTGTGGGTCGCCTAGTAAAGATTAAATAAGTAAAGATCTTAAAATATTCTTTGGAGTATTACGTACTCGGGTGTCAACGAATATCAGGACACTTCGCATCTCGAATGAATTTATCTTGGCACTCTTAGAATGGAGCGAATGACGTCTAAGTGCTCTCATCAAACGTCATAAGAACGGCAAACGTGCAAACGTATTTGACAAGTTGGATGTAACATCAATTAAAGATAAGATAATGTTTTTATAATATTGAGTACCGCGGTTAAAACCGCATCGTGAGAAAGAGAATATAAAAATTTAATAAAGTAATACATCGAGGAATTTAAAAACACAATATATTGAATAAATGAGAAAAAATTATTATTAAAATATACACATATTAATATATTATAAAGGAAGTAATATTTCAGAAATGTTTTAAAGATCCTAATTTACCCGTTAAGAGAGAACTGGTATAAAAATGTTAAAGATTTTTATTTGTAATACTTACAGAATTGTGTTGACAGGATTTTGGGTTCTACAATTCTATGTTGTTTTAAATATATAATTATATATATCTGTACACACAGTTATATTTTACATATAACTTTTTACGCATCTCTTTTTTAACTTTTGTGAAATGTAAATAACTTGAGCAGTAGAAAGAGGATTAAAAAGTTTTACGATTTAATGTTAATTAGAGAAAACCATGAAGTGTATACAAGAAGATCTCATTAAATATTATCAGAATGTAATTATATTGTTCAAGAACAAAGGCTCAACAAAGTTAAGGGCTTCTCTTCACCAAAGGGAGGAAGTTTCAAGTGTTCTCGAGACTCACGGAATAATTACACTGCCTCTTCTGAGGTTCACCTTTGCCTCGGCTATTCGCGTGCGCTTCCAAAAGAAAAAAAAAAGGTGGAAGTTTCGCGTTCGCGTGCTCTTACCCCGACATCAAGGTCGAGCTGGTTAAGACTTAGGAGGGATTTCTACATAATTAAAGTTGACTAATGACCTTGCTAATGGCGCGCATGCTTATGTTTCTCGACACAGATGCAAATGTCGAATGACGCGAATATTCTGCTCGACGTTGTTTAACGTCATTGGCCATTTCTCCATGATCTATTGAGAAAACTGCACATCTGTCGATCTTTCTGTCAATTAGTACGACAACAGCTACGAGCTGTGGCATAAAAAAAATACGGTGCATGTAACAATCGCGCCTGTTACATCGCGCATTTATTTGCTTCGAGACGGTAATTCCGGGAGAACGAGAGGCAAGGGCGGTTCGTTGCTTTCAGCTAGCCCGGGTATCCAGGGTTCGTCGCCATAGCGACACCCGAGCCATGGCTAGCCACCCCGTTCTACAGTATAGCCGGATGTAGACCGCGTAGGTTGAAAAATCCGAACGACGCGCTCTAATTAATCCGCTGATGCACAATTCAATTTGTGCTCTCGCTAAAAGTTACACAAGACGTAATCTAAATAACAGATTTACGTACGTATAGGCAAAATAAACGCTTATTTTTAGTCTCAAGCTTCAATAACGAAATCATTGTTCAACAAAAAGTCTCCTCTGACAAACAAATTTAAACAGAAATAGTCTATTTATCGTATATATTATTAATGAATATTTATAATTTATAGCAAATTATACTATAACCGAAGATATAAATTAATCATTTTAATTTAGAAATAAGTAAAATATATGATTATATATATATACATATATGTATATTAAAGTGAAAGTCGTGGAAAATTTATGACACCTGTTGTATAAATTTTATACAATTTTAAGATTTATTTCGATATATACAAAACATTGCTTCGTATTAATGGAGGTTACGCGCGTCGGTTTTCTTGTGAAAGTTTCCTCCACTCGGTTACCTTATCACTCAGTCAATTCGGACAATACGGAGGAAAGTAGTGAGATAATAACGATTGTCCGAATATTGTCGAGTAGCGACGTCGTAATATGCTCGCGCGTATATACTCCCACATTCAACGTACAAATATATAGAAACACGCATTCGCATGGATTCCGATCGTTAACGCGTTTTTTTTTTTTTTTACGCCGATCCTTACGAGTGTATAATTCATTCGGATAACGATCCACTTGTGGGATCCGAAGGGAGCGAGTCTCACACGTTGCGATTTATTTTATGGTGATTTTATGTCGGTCGGGAAATGACGTGCGTCGGGAGCGAATAAAACTAAGCCAACGCCTCCTTTTCTCCAATGTATCAGGAGAGTTGTTCTAATTCAGTCTTATAATTTCGCGCAATTCGGATATTCCGCAACGTAAAATGCAAGTTAGTTCAATCGGTTCACCGGCACGATCACAAGTAAGAATAGAAGATGATTTTTATAAAAATTGCAACTGGAATAATGAAAATCTCTGATTTGTAATGTAATTGAATTAAATCGCGTGGATCAAGATATCGAATCGCGGTGAGCAACCGATGAATTTGGCAACCGATTCGCTGCGAGTCGCCCGTTTTCACATGTCGTTATCCCTGGGCGTTTTAATGCGGGATCGTTAACGAAAGACTATTACAACGGTTGAAATCGCAACGTGCATGCAATATTACGCTATGCCTATATCACCGTTACGAAATGGCGTAACTAATTTTACAAACGGAACCTCTATGCGCTACACCATAAACCGCTACAAGAATATATGTGTACTATATTTGTCTACGTATATACGTACACACGTATATGTATATACATGTCTAGCACGAATGCGAATATATACCTGGCTATGTAAATGTATCTACATTTGTGTGATTTACATCTTGCTGGTAACGATACTTCCGTTAATCGTCCATCTCGCGTCGTGATTCCTAATCGCATCTCTCGGCTCTGCCAGATTTCTCAAACGTTTTCGGCATTTGTTCTCGAGGCGAATCATTTATTGAACTTATATTTTGATAGAAATTTTGAAAAATAAAGCGATATATATTTCGCAGTTTGCGCAGCAATTAAAATTGCTCCCGTCCGCTGGTTGTTATGAAATAAGATTCGATTGTGTGTTTCCGAAAGTGTCTTCACAATCGTGCTACGTTTGGAGTTAGGATTTCTGGTCTGGAAATCCCGGGATTATACAGTCTTCTTGCTTTCTTATCTCTTGTCTAACAATAAAGATTATACTAAGTAATATAAAGAGAAACGGATTTCAAAGTTGAATTATATACAAAATATCTTTAAGGAGCTAACCTCGCGCCTAATTGCGCATAAGGCATCACTAAAGACCATCAGTTTACCAGGACAACTGATTAACGCAAAAATCATATGCACCGGCATTATTGTCTCTATAGTTAGTACATCAAGCTAATTATCAGTTCATCACATTCTTCCACAAATTCTCTCTCTCTCTCTCTCTCTCTCTCTCCCTCTATGTAGATATTTGTATATCACATTTACACTTAACTGCTAGAGCATCTTACGATCAAGAGATGTATTTCCTTTTTGTTTCGAAAGCAACATGAAATTCTAAATGTGAAGGTACGCTTGAGAGACTGAAAAATGTCTTTTAAACAGCTCCGTGATATCCTTTGCGTATGAAACTTTTTAGGAATATTAATTGTGACTTATATCGTTTTCAACATCGATCAATACAAATATCAATAGTCTCTCGAGGTTTTCTGCGCTCTTCATACTTAATTCTAATTAAGGAAGTTCATCAATAATTGGTCCGCCTGTGATTAGATTTCGACACTCTGGAAATGTCGCTGGAACAGAGTCGTGTTCCGCTTTTCTCGCGGTACACTCGTCGAATGAATTTTCCGGAAAATGTCTCTCGGCTAGGTAACTCCAGCTGATTATTTGGCACATCTGTACGAGGTCGGCATGTAAAAGCTGCCCATTCGGAACTTGGTACTCCGTTCTTCCTGGGTGACCCGAAGGCACGGCTCGCTGCAAGTTCTCACTATCTCTCACATGTCCTCCGTGCTGAAACTGCCGATCAGACCGGGCTCTGTGTCCATATTAGAATCGCATTGCATCACCCACTCCCATATCCTCTTGGTGACGACTTTCTGGTCCACCGTAGTCTCCAGGCCGTAACTGTTGAGCAACTTTCTCAGCTTGTTCTTGTTCTCATCTACGTTGTGCCGGTCGTCCAAGATGGTATCGAGATAGAGCAGACTGTCGCCTCGCCTGGCGAGGCTCTCGCTTACATCGACCGACGTCGACGTCGCACTGTGGCTGATCTTACTGATGCACCACGAGTCCTTTAGGTACTTGTTGATCTCGGTCACATGCGGCCTCTTCTCCGGCTTGTGTTCAAACGCTCGCCTAAAGTATCGGAGTAACCTAGGAGTGAAGCGACGGAAAGTCGGTGGGATCTTGGTGGTGCGTCGCTTCAGCCATCGTTGGAAGGCCGAGTAGTCCGGGTCTTGGATCGGGTCGGCGCTCTGCCACGGCGGATTGCCGGTCAAACAAACGAAGAGGACGATGCCAAACTGCCAGCAGTCCGAGCTCCTCTTGCAAGCATACCTTTCGTTCTTGATGATTTCGTGAATCTCGGGCGGTTGAAACGGCACCCAGGTACAACGAATCTTGTTCACGAGGGTGCCTTCGCGCCTCGTGCACCCGAAATCGCATAGCTTCACCTTGCTCATGTCCTGCGCGAACACTAGCACGTTTTCCAGCTTGATGTCGCGATGGGCCAGTTGTTTCGAGTGGATGAAGTCGAGGGCCGAGGCAAGCTGACCGGCGATTCTCTTGCAGGCATCCTCGCTTATACCGCCGGCTTTCACGTTGCCGGCGAGATCGCCGTAGGGCGCGTATTCCTGCGCGAATACGAAACATTTATCCGCTTTAAAGGCGACGGCGTACGAGCATAGTATATTGGGATGCGGGCTGAGGTGGTACGAATAATGGAACTCTCGGAAGAAATCCTTTTCCGACGTGAGTTCTTGATGAACCGCTTTCAAGACCACCCTTGTCTGGGTGGCCCTGTGCGTCGCCAATAGGACTTTCGCGAAACTACCCTCGCCCAGAGTCTTCTCCACATTGTACTCCTTCGATAAGTCCAGTTCCTCGAGAGGCACCTCTTGCACTCTGTGAATGCCCGATTCTTTCTTCTCGTGTAGCTTCATCTGGAACGAGAAGAAAAGTGAAGGTTATTTTTAGACATTGATCTTTCTATTTTTGGTTCTTCATAATACGACACTGTATGGCGAGCGATGCTTAAGATCTACAAAAAATTGAGTTCAATAGATTAGATATTTAAAGGGAATTGCTTTATTTTAATTTCCAAATCAATTAATTCTGGACGCGTCTTGGTCTCGTATTATTATTTCAATTTATTTGCATCTATTTTCATTTCGTGTAGAAGCTGGCATATTTGTCCTTGCCATTTTCGTTCTGTATAGACCGCCTCCTCGTCGAGACCGGAAATTAGAATTTCATCTGTCCACATTGAAGGACGTCAACATTGATTTCATACTTGGATAACTCTCTGTCACAAAGGAATATTATCTCCGTCCCGTGGGAACAATGAATCTCAGGAATATACTACGCCTACAATCGTCAACGCGACAAACGCGCGACCATATTCAGGAACGTTCCCACGCTTCCTTCCGCAAAAAGATAATATTCACACTTCTTCTCCGATCGTGCAGCGCGCGTTCCAGTTCATAAATAGCAACGCGTAGATCAATCGCGGTTCTAGAATATGATATATCGCGAACACGTGCGATATTGTGGGTCGCGCGAAGTAGAAGCCGTCTGAAGAACGGTTCTCCCGGGTGACGTAACCATTCCTTAAATGAAAATACGAATCTTCTCTCATCAAATCTTTCCTTTAAACAACATTTTCAAGGAGTCCGCATATTTTTGCTGATTACATTTTAATAGAGAAAATAACATGAGCCGCATTTACTTTGAAATATGAAGTAAAATTTATTTCACGTAATTATTATTTTAAGAGAACAAATATCTAGAAACGAGCGTTGCCCGTCTGAAATTAGTAAGAAAAACTAACGTATAATTTACATTTTGTTACGGAAAATTCGATTATAGATTGGATTCAACGAACCTACAGATGAAAGCAAGTACTGGGAACTTTGTATAGCACGTGTACAACAGAAATCGCAAATTTCCCGTAAACTAGAATTTATCGGAATCCGTATGCCGTTGTTGCATAACGGCAATTTCAAGCAGACGTTGATCTATCTAACGATACTCCTTGCGGTTTTGGACCACCGTTTCTCTTCCAGTCGCACACGCCGCGTGATCTCGCACGTGCGTCATCAAACGCCGCGCTGCATCTGCTCTCTCGTGTAAATGGAATCGCGTGTTAGGTTCTTGTCCGATTTTACGATCACGCGTCTCGAGAATCGATAGTTTGGTTGGTTGAGCGCGCGGCGGGAGGAGTTTTTGGAACGTCGCCACTGGAGATGGCGATCCTCGTCCTTTTCGCGCGTACGCATTTTCACCGGTGGGTGCTTTCTCCTCACTGAAGTTCTCTCTTCAGCGAGAAGAACCGCGCTCTCGCGATGCAACGGAAAGCGTGAGAGTCGAGCCGGAGGGTGGCCGGGTGAACCCAGGACATTTAGACCCTTGCTAGATCAATAGCGAGGACCGCGCTCACGCTTTGGTCGACGGCGCGTGAGCCTGGTCGGCGCCGAATCCCAAAACTTTCCGCCCAAAACTCGCACGCGGATTTCGTTTACGCCGATCTGCCGATTTATCACAATTATAACGAGAAATAAGGCAGAGTTAAGTGTGATATGTTGAGGATTGAGCGCGCGCGAATAATAAAAGATGAGCTACATATCTGCCGATTGATACTTTTCTTTATTTTGCACGACTCAAGGATAATTCGAAACATTACATATTTTATTTACATTAAAGTACACTTTTAAAATACAATTTTTTTAAATACAAAAATTAATATTCGCGAAATTTTGATACGCGCATTACTTAAGTTCGTTTTACAATATATATGGCTATTTATTTTGTCTGATACGATCTGACAATGAAAGAGTACATATTCCTGATTCTTAGCGTTTTAAAGGGAAGCTCAGGTGCTTAACGAGAGTTAAGGGGTTTAAGTTGTATTTTTTACAGCTTATAGAAAGATCGTTCGTTATCAAGCCGCGACACACAGAGAGATCATCAAGAGACACCCAAACAACATACATGAAAAACAAACATCGTTCGTTTAACGACGAACATTTATCCAGTCGTTCCATAAATTTCTGGAGATCTGAGACCCAACGTAAATGTCGTCATGTGACGAAACGAATGCAATATGACGCGACGGACTTCGTGGGTGGGCGCGATCATGTATATTTTAATAACGTAATGCATCATATCGGGTACGGGACGAAGCGTCATATCGAGAGCTCTTTCTGATTAATTATTAATGTGATACGCGAATATACGTGTCCTTGCCTCGTGTATTTGGTCAGCGACTATTGTAAAAATGTCGCTATTTAAATCCACACTCGGTGTGTCATAGTGACTTTGATTTTGACAAATTGTAGATAACCGTGTCTCGCGTTCTCCTATTTTCTGTTCATTGTTTTATGTCACGGTTATTTTTTCACATTACCACCGGTTCGGACCGGTTAATTCTGACAAGCCTCAGAGGCACAGGTATATTTAGCATTTATGTTTACTGGGCACTCTATTTTAATACACGCGAGTTAGCGGCGTTTCACTTTGGTGTGCGTGCGTGAGTGCGTGCGTGCATGCGTGCACGCACACCGTGCGTTTAATGAGGCAATTTAGTCGACACGTATAGAATCGACAACTTATACGCGCCACAAGTGTGCGCGGAAATCATCTCTGTTAAGTCCTTGACAAGTGAAGCGTTCGTAAAAGTATGCCTTAGTGTGCTACGGTCAATTGTGATATTAATTTCTTATGATTCGTCGACAATTCATTACAATTTTTTGCATTTGTCGTTTCCTTATGCGACACGCTTTCATAAAAATTTTATAAAAATTCACACAGCATCATTTTAACAGCACAATTTTTATAATGTATCTCTAATTCTCAACAGAAATCTTTTAGAGTCCAATCGTACATAAAACGGACTTCAATATTAATGAATTCTTTTAATTGGGTTATTGAATACTCCGCTGTAAAGCTGGATAAATTTTACAGTAATTGCTGAGAATTAAAGTCTACATTAGAAAATTTGTGCACAGTTATAAATGAAAGTAACGCAGCTGCAATGACAGCGAAGTGATAACACAACACCAATACGTACCACGCAAAATTTGTTCGACAATCGACAGAAACTGTGTCACTTCACTCTGGTACACTGTGTCCAATGTATATGTGTAAATGTATCGGCAAATATGCGTAAAAATCACTTTTCTTCAGTTAAATCCCGACTAGCGCGTCCTCGTTTACATCTTCATCACGCGACGAGTCCTGACACGCGCATCAGCTGCTCACAAAGTATCACAAATGCCGAATCGAGTCAGCGCGCGCTGTAGAAATTGTATCAACCCTGTCCCCTGACAGCCTCGCTTTCGGAGCAGGTGTCACTTGAGAGCGCGGGCACGAAAATAGTGACTCCGGTAGGTATCGATACGACGACGCTCGGTCACATTTTCCGTGGTGCGCGTATCTCAAACGTCTGGAGCGTCGTGACGCTCCGCGTCGCTTTTATAGACCCGGTCGGGGGGCGCGCAGACGTGGTTTGTAAAAGGGTGCGGGACACACGACGGCGTCGGTTGTAGGGCGAACGTAACGGCGCGTCGCGCGGTGGCTTTTTTTAACGGGCGCATTATGCGAATCGACGAGTCGCGTCGTTACGGTGAGACGGACACTTCGATAAATAGAGGAAGTTACCTGGGACGGGATGTACCCACAGAATTCTTCCACGTGCCGCCGTTGATCGATTGTGCGCTATCCTTAGTCACGAATTGCCGTTCAGGGAGGGAAAAAATTGTTATATCTTGCCGATTAAATGTTTGTCGATATGCGCTCGTTGCAAAAGGATCGTGGGAAATATTAATCGTGGACACAAATTGGATGTCTCTTTCTTAAATTCTGCTTGTATTAGCGCCCATTAATTTTCCGCAACCGAATTGATCGCTTATCGTGTTCGATAACAGCGCGTTCTCGAGATTTAGGAGCGAGGGCACGATAACTACACACGAGTAATAAGAATTCCTGCGAGCGAAAGCGATGCGTGAGATGACGAGCAAGACCTCGTGTAAAAATTGAGATTGACCTATAACATTTTTTTCTCACCGATTCGTAGGGACGAGAGAGAATAATAATACCTGTCTTTTATTCTTTCAAGTCGTTCTTTATTGTCTGCATGGCTGTGAATTTTGCAAGTATAAAGCCATTTTGATATCAACCGAATCCGCAAAGTATATTTTCGTACCTGCACGAATGGATTATTGACTTAAAGTGAATTTATTGACTTTCCGCCGCCAGTTTAATATTCCAGCTTCCATGAATATAGAGCCAAATAAGAGAGGAAACGTCACGTGATCACTGCGATCGACCTCCGCTTTTATAATTTATCATCATAATTATATTTTCTTGCATGCATCTATCGCGTTGCAATTTAAAAAAGTTTTATTAATTGTTATCTGCGATCTAAATGTTCTAAATGTTAAGGATTGAAATGCCCCGGGGCGACTACAAATCTCACACTTGTCTCCCGCGGTTACGTTTCACCTGATATTATTTTCTTAAATTCACCGCGAACGTTGTTAAATAATGCGGATTACGCGTTCGTCGTGAATCCGAATTTACACCTGAAAGTATTTTTAAAATGTATGTCAAGTATACGGAGGGTCCATAGAGATGTTCGGCTGTGTACAGCCGAATATTAAAGATATAAATAGGGGAAACGGTCGCGCGATGGAAGTAAAGTACAAGTGCGAGTTATTGTATAATCACGGCGAATCGTCGACTCGCATCCCCTAATTCGCAAAGATTACGCGAAAGATCTTGACGTCGGCGGATTTCGAGAAACAGAAAGAATCTAGGTTGCACGGAAATATATTGGCGTCATCGAACTCGTATACTTACGTTCACCTACGTGTGTTTGAGTACGAGTCCCATGAGACAGCAAGTAGAACAACGGAGCTGACTTATAAATGGGGAAAATCCCGAGGCACTCGTATACATTGACTTTTATTACTAACGACAAATGCGCTACCAAAACGTGACGAAATTTTATAGCGAATCTGGCTTCGCAGCGGCGTCTGTCTTTAACTATAATTAGATTTTCGCGGATGCGGCTATTGTCTATTTTGCGAAGCAACTGACTAATCGTGCAACACCAGTCTCGTGCGCTTGCCAAGCAGCCACTGAACTTTGCGAACATTTATTATTCGCAGAGGACTTTCTTCACGATTATTCTTTCGCATTTGTGAACTTTGTCATCTAACGATACTAGGAAGTTTGCGGGGGGGGGGAAGGTATTAAAATAATTCACACACAGCTCTATATATCTCACTAAATCCAACTTAAGCTTATTCATGGTAAAAGTACAATTTATGTCACTGTTGGACAAATAAAGGTACACGAGACAACACCATTAAGGTGGCTGTGTCTCGAGGAATTCCTCGAATAGAGTGAGGACTGTCGACTGAAAAGCGAATCGAAACGGAGGATGGAAAAAGAAAAAAGGAACAGCGGGAAGGAAACAGAGGGGAGAAAAAGATATAAGGGCGGACGTGTGTCGAAGAGGATTTATCCTCGACATATGTCTGTGAATGTGGTCCACCTACGCGGACACAGATACACATATCGATCTCGCCCACGTGTGGATCCGCGAGATGAGAGCGATTCAATCGCGCGCGCACGCACACACACGCACAACAATGACGCAATTTATAAGTAAAAAGGGACGTGCAAGAAGAAGGACAAGAGCGACGGCTCTCGCGGAGCTACCACCGCGACCGAATTGAGAGTAGGTATATAATTATCGAGCCGAACGCGTTTCGCGGAACGCGGTTGACGAAACATCTATATTGGAGAACCGCGAGATCTTCATCGCAAACCATGGCGCGTTAGTATCTCGAATTCTTCTTTATTCCTCGGTATTTTCCTGTATATTTTCTCGCGCCCTAATGTCTTCTGGGTAAATTTTTCTAAAATAAAACATTAGTGGAATATTATAATTCATAATGTCGATGTGGTTCAGTATATTTAATAAAGTGCTTCATCGCAGTTTCCTGCTTCCAAACGCTTGGTCAAGTATTGTATATTGACTTCTGACGCAGTGGGTTTTGGCGATTTGCAAATTAGTTTCTTTGTACCATTACTTTGCATTTCTCTAGATTCTAAGAGATTTCGTAACAATAAGATTCTGAGAGATTTCGCAGTTTCCGCCAACTCGGAGAGTTGATTTAACTTTGGCTCGGTTTAATGGATGTAAGGACGCCTTTGTGTTCGCCGTTGTTTCTACGCGCATCAATCATTGCAGCTGCGATAAACAAAAATACATGCGTGATACATAGCGCGTACAATTGAAAAAGAAGATGCGATTCTGCGAAGCTACTGTACTCTGATACCGAGCTATCTTCTTTTTCTGGCAACCTTGATTTTTCTTGTTGCCCTCGTTGGATTCTTTATCTCTCTCATTTATCTGTCGATAAGTTTAATTTACAGCTTCAATAACCAGTTATAGGCTATTCCTTATTCCATCTATTCCGTCTATTCACTTTTCGCGCAAATAGAATATTACGATTAAGCATCGTGGCAGAGATAAGAAATAATAGATTAATAGATTTTCATTCTCTACCGAAGGAAGGAAATGGGAAAATTTATTTGTTTCTACAATCTATTTTATAATTCTGGTTTATTCCACTTCTATATGGTCTACGTAGTTGTTTTAAAGTTAGTATCCAATTACTATTTAACGATCCATTTTTACGAGCTGGAGCCCCTTCGTCCTGTTCTGTGTGGTTGAGATAAACTCTCGTAGGACCTTACACACTTCCTTAATTGCGCAGTAGCTGTTTCGCATTTGCGGCAACGACAAACGGCGTATCGGCGCCAGGAGATTATCGTTCGAGGGAAAAGAGCAAACATACGGTTCATGTTGCTTACTTACCTTAACACCGGCAACGTGCGTCAAACTGACTATTTTTAGTCTTCTCTGTTTTCAGTTAGAACGTTAAGAAAAAATACGGGAGCGCATGGAGCAGGTGCCGAAACGCTGCGAATAGTAGCAGCACGAGTAAAGAGGCGACGATGACTAATTTAAGAGTCGCGATGTACGCATTATTTTAATGCACTCAATCGAATGCACTGTACGTGCGTTCATTGCTCCCATTTGAGGGCCGTTTGGTTCCGTTTATAGGGGTGGCCGCAAATTCATAAGATATGTATCTAATAAATCTGCTGTAAGCAAAAACGTCGAAAAAGCAAAAGCTTTCAAGTTATAAGCAATTAGGAGTAAAAAGTAAAATTTGAAAGTTTTTCATGGAACAGAATAACATATTGAATCGCATGTGTGTGTGCACAAATTGCCGCTAACAAATTTGAAGGTATACTAGATCGCATATGTAAAAAGGAAAACAATATATTGTTATAGAAACAGGGATATGATTATAAAGAGGGCAAAATATTGGGATTTTATCTCACTAGCATTCGGTGGTATGATTTGATTTTCAAAACGGCTTCGTGAAATGTTTAACGAAATATTTATACTCGTGAGAATTGTACATTATTCGCTGAGAATTGTCAAATATTCCAATATATATTTCAAGAACTCTTTTTTTATTTGTTTTTATTAATTTGCAAAATTCTTTAACACAATTTTCCATTAATTGAGAGAAATTATATCTAAATAAATAAATTAATGCTTAACTATAATTATAATAATAAAAATATAACTCTATGTTGTATGATTTCAATTTTATATAATTTTTTCTAATGTTCCATGTTATTTCTAATTGGTTCCAATACGAGTTTCTTTCCGCTATTCTCTGTTTAGCTCTTGCTTTCTCTACTATAGTAGAGACGATTATTCTAGTGCGAGTATATACTCTCACTAGAATAATTTGAGTAACTGCTCGTCGGAAGAGTACAATCGCTGGAATCGCTGGAGCAACTACAGGTGCCCATGCAGGAACACGATGAAAATGAACGTGTCGAACATGATGATTCCGACGTGCGTGATGACTCATCAGTGTAACTGCTGTCAGAATCTGTTGACTCTATTTTCTCTGGAAGAAAGAAAAAAAAACGAGACATCAGTCCCGGAAAGATCGTTTGAGACACAGTTGCATGCGAATTCTCAGTAGAATCTGTCAAACTGTCCACTTCGAGACGCGTATGTTGTCTTGAATATCACGGCGGGAATTAATTATTTCGTAATATATTTAACATTCTGACTCTGACGAATTTCGTGAAAATCTAAAGAATTCTTTGATATTAATGACATGCGTATTTAATAGCAGATCTACAAGCAATTGGAATTTAGCTTTTGCTTATGAAGATGTAATCGAGACTTGCAAAGACGTTTACCTAAATTATGTTTAACGTGTTCCATTTTTTTCTTGATGACCATTATGCGTCGGCTAAGACCGTCAATAGCTCTCGCAGCTTTCATACTCTTTTTATGTTGTTTCGTATTTTCGATTGACCCTTTTGTTTTCGCACAACAATCATTATCAGAATCTCTTGCGCAACTTTCTGGAAAGTAATTATTAATCGGTGTAAAAATTGATGGAAATTCTTGATCTTTGTCAATAAACCAAAACCTATGGAAATATATTTTGGATATTTCTCTTACTTCTACATTGACATTTTATATTTTCTACGTTATTTACTCGCGGCGATTTATTTGACTTTTTCTGCAGCTTGTTCTCGGGATTTTTTTTCTTCATCTTCTCCCCCTTCGATTGGTTACGCTTGTCTAAAAAATATATATAGTTATTAAAGTAGCAAGAAATTGTATCTCGTTGCAAGTATAGTATCTGTACTGTTTTTTCAGTGTCTTACTGCTTTTCTTAGATTTAGCATTCTTCTCTGTATTATTATTAATTTCGTTCACTTCATATTTATTTTCCAATTCGCTAACGGATATCGCATCACCTAAGAAAAATTTTATTATTAATATCAAATTTTATTAATATCAAAAAAGATACGAAAACGGATATCAAAACGATACGAGAAAGAATATATATTTGAAGGTTTTTTTAATACTTACATCGCTCTTTTTTTACTTCTACTTCATTTTTCGACGTATCTTGCTTCTCTTTATTACTCTCCAAATTATTTTCCAAATTCACATTTCTTTTTTTCTCTCCGTCAGACATATCTGCACTATCTGAAAAATATTATACTTTTATTATTAAGAGTAACCATCCAAAATATATGTAAAACTTGATACTTTATTTACATTCTTCTTGTTTGACTTTCATGTTTGTCCTCGAGCTTTTCTGGTTTTCCTTGTGCTGACCACCATTCTTTGATTTCTTTTTAGAAACTTTTATTTTTGGATTTTTACTTTCTTCCGTTGATGCTCCCTTTTTCGCCGTCTTTTTTATTAGTTTAGAGGTGTTATTTTTAGGAGTGCTCGTTTGCAAATTGTTCTCGGTGATATTTGAAATATCCTGCAGAATTTCTTGTGTTGCTTGTTTCTTTGAATCGACATTCTCTTTGGCGCTGGCGTTTGAAAAATTCTCTTTTTCTACATTATCAATATCAGGAAGTTCTTGTGATGTCATTTCCTCAACCGTCTTAGAAGTTTGTCGAGGCTTTCTTGAAGCTGTTCCCGTTTTATTTTTT